AACCTTCCCCTGTGAGACATCGCTGGATTCAGAAAGAAAGAATAACTACTTCAATCAAGTAAAATACTCACAATGACCCTTGCAACGCCAAGTAAATGAGGTAAGAACAAAAAGAGTGAAATATGTGGTGGCCATGAAACTAAATCAAGCATGTGAACAAGAAAAGGCTAAGAAAGAATTAAAAGAGAATCAAACTAATATTAATACCATACGATAATGGTACTAGAAGCTTCAAGCAATGATGGTACCTAGAATCATTATCTAGCGAATGAAATACAATACCAAAAGGGTTCAAACAGACAGAATAACTGAGATTAAATTCAAAGAATAAATCAGACATAAAAAAATCAAATGAGCAGTTAGCAGCGGAAAAAACCACACCAGCTAAAAAGCAATCCAGCCAGGCAAATGATTTAGAAATTTCAAATTCACAAGAACCTGATTCATAATTTCATACTTACAGCCTTCACTGAGGATATAATATAGTCCCTACCAGGAGGACTCAAAACATTGGACGGCAGTCTTATCTGATAGAAATCATCTTCTTGCAACAGCTTCTGTCATAGGTGTCAAAACTTTATGTTGAGCTGATACAGCATAAATAATAGATAAATAGATAGAAGGAAAATAAATGCTTACTTCAAAGTTCTTCTGCTCAATTTTATTGAAAGAATTTCTTGAAAACCGCAGCTTCGTGAGTGTCTGAAAGATCAAAGTTGCATTTCAGACCAAAAGCACAAATGGAGCAGCCGTACATCCAAGGGCCATTGAAGTGTTGGGCAAAACAACTGGACACGACAATGGTTATGGGCCCTATAAACCAAATGTCCTCATAGGTCCAAAATAGTGCGCACACATTGACAATTCCCAAAGTAACTCTGTTGAAGATCGTAGATTTCTGAATAATTCGCTGTACTATTTACTAAATAGCATTTTACATGATTTATAGGATGGGGGAATATTCCTAATTATTGTAGAGCTGACTTGGTTTCACTAAACAGCTCCTAGAATCATGGGATAGGATAATAATCAGATATGGTCAGATTTTATCTCAATCTCACCGTTACAGCATTTATGGTTAAATGATCCTGAAAGATTAGGGTTAAATACTGGTTCATGGGCTACTAGTAGCTGGCCCACTTTCCTACAAAGATTGCCCCTTTAGTGGTCACATTACCATGACTCTAATCTAGAGGGATTCACCATTTGTTCATTATCTATCTTTTATTATATAATCCTAGATTACTGAATCTGTTAATTATGTGATATTCTGTTAGGATAGGGGATTTTATTGTTTCAAATTTGAATAATCCTAGATTACCAGATCTAGGGCGCACCAGCTAGAGGAATTCAGTCTTACTATGGGTACTGTTTTGCATGAATATTGGGTAAGAAGCAACATGTAGTTCATGAGTGTGGTTGGTTCATGAATAAGCCCCAAGAAGAGCATATGGAAGTCATATACAGAATCTTGAGATATTTAAAAATAACACCTGGAAAGGCCTACTCCTTGAGATAGGGAATTGAAATCTTTACAAATGCAGATTGGACGGGATCAACTATTGATCAAAGATCCACCATTGGCTGTTGTGCCAATGTTTAACAAGCAGCCAGTATTAACTAGAAACAGTGCAGAAGTTGAGTACAAAGCCTTATCATCAGGCGTTTGTGAAGGAACGTAAATACTTAGGCTATTTAAGAAATTGAAAATTGAAACTCTTGGCACCGATGGAGAAATGGCGTAACAAGGCAAGAATTGAGAATGTGAATAATCCCGTTCATCATGATGATTGATATGAACTTCATAAAGGAAAAGATTGAAGCAGGGATAGCTGATTTGTCCAAGTGACCTCTCAATCTCAAAGTTGCTAGCCTTTTCACTGGTGTTCTATTGAACTACTTTGCAACAAGTTCTGGATGATCAATATCTATTTACGAGCTTGAGGGCCGTGATGGAGATTGAATCTATCATTTATTTTTCTGTCTTAATTGTATCTTATTTTATGCGTTTCCTCTTATAATATTTTGGTTTCCTTCTCAGGTTAGTTTGCAATCGGTGGTAACAACTTGCCTATGTAATGCACATCTACTTCAGAATAACATGGGTTTGAGATCCCTCACTCTACTCTTAGCTCACAATCCCAAAAGTGAAAAATTATAGACTATTTCATATGCTGGACTACGTTCCGGCAGAGTTCTTAGACTCCTAGTTTCTTCCCTCTTGTCAAGCCATCAACTGAAGCGGCAACAGTAATGTTGCAGATGTCGTGCAGCATGAGAATTGTAACTAGGTGCGCATTAATAAAATTGTTTCTCAACAACGACCATTACCAACCAACCTGGCCGCCGTGATTCCATATCTTCAGGCGAGCAGAAAAATCGCCAGCGCCAGAGAATTGGGAGTCTCCAAAAGCGTGTTCGAGATTGAACTGGATCTTGGAGTCTGATCCGGATTCGGAAAACCTCTTCCGCGAGGTGGTAGTAGCGGTGGGAGGCGGCGATTGAGGCCGACCGAGTCCTCCCTCGAGACCAAATTCTTCATCGTCGATAAGAAGCTCATCGGATTCGAAAGCCAGCGATGAAGCAAGCAAGAGACACCCAGTGAATGCTAAAATCAACTGGATTATACCCATCTTGTTGGCTCGATAATTTCAGATGCAGTTCACGCGGCCCCGGTGCCCTTTTCGCCACCCCACCGTTATATATCAGTCCCAAAAAAAAAAAAAAAAAAGGGAGAATGACAACCTTCTTTATTTGACATTCTCCCAAGAAAAACCCACTAGTAAAAAAAAAAAAATTATTAAAAAGTCTTAAAAATTTCAGATGTTTTATAATTATTTTCTTTTCTTGATATTTGATTATAATTCTTTTTTTTTTAATCTTCCCATTTTACTTTTGCTAACCAAAACAACATAGGAATGTTAATTACAAATATCTTAAAAAAAGTGTTCCAACCTTTTTGTCAACTTTCTCCTCAGATGGAGAAAAGTTATGAACAATATCGTAATTATTATTTACAAATCATGTACACTTTGCTTTAAACTAGTCCAAGACCTTAAATCGCCAGAATCCCCCTCCCAATATGGGTCAAGCTAGTTGTGTCAGCGAATATCACCCCTTTTTTTTCACTGAGGATCGGGCCTTAAAAATTGTAAATTTCTAGCATAAAAAGAATTCGTAATATATATTCTTTTAATGAGATTCTTAAATCAATATCTCCAACAAACAAAATTATTTCAACTCAAGATTCAAATACTCTATTTCGTTTTCAGATGATAAAAATAGTAATAGAAAGATCTAATTTTTTGTTGTACAATTTGCAGCTTGAAACATTTGTTTCATCCTTAAGAACTTATATTTGTATTATTTAAACTGAGTTTTAGAACATTTAATTTTAGTCTCTTGGAATTTAAATTTATATTATGTAAATGAAACTAGTTGAGTGAGAATGTCAAACTTCAGTTTTTTAACAAAATTATCCAGGTTTAGACCTAACTCTAAGCCCAATATTTGAGACAAGGTCCGCAAAGTGATAAAGATGAGGGAATTCGAGATTAGGCCTAAGCCCAAATAAGCCGATCCCATTGGGCCATCAGGACAAGGTCTGCCCATAATCCCAACCATAACATAATATTACTGGCATTGGAATGATTTTTCCACGGGATAATACAATTTTAACCAACAGAATTAGGTTTATCAGAAGGGGCTAATCTCCTGTAATGTGATGAATCGAGATTCGAATCTCTGTTAGGATTTCCTAATAAAAGGATGCTTATGCCTATAAAAAGGGGAAATTTTTTTTTTTGATTCCTTGAGTTTGCTCTTATTTTAATTTTGGAGGTGTTTGGATAGCTATAGAAAGGCATTTTCACACTCCAAACCATTGTTTCACCTCAAAATCATCCAAATACTTTCATATTTTTAAGAAATTGATTTTTTTGGGCTGCAACCAAGATTTTCACAGAAGTGAAAATTTGTTGCTTTTGGGATATTAAAAGGAAGACAACTGAATGTGTACAAAACTACGCTTCAAGTTTGAAAGCAAAGCAAAAAGATACAACATGTTTATTGGATTTTTCTAAAAATATACTTATTAATCTTATATTTTATGTACACAATAATTATTAATTAATTATATAACTAATAAATTGTTCTTACATATGGTTATTAAATTTTTGGAAAAATAATATGGGATTTCATAATTAAAATCTTGAAAGTAAAATAATCATTTTTTTGAAAATATAGTTAATCTTATATTTTATAAATATATATGTACAAATAATAATTATCAATTAACTATATTTTTTCATATATTATTATGTTGAAAAAATATATTATTTAAAATAAAAATATAAATTGAAATCTATGCAATTATCATATTAACTTATATCTTCTTTAGTAATTTGTACATAAAAAATGCTTTTAATGACAATTATCCACTTCATCAAAATTAATTTTTTTCACAAAATCTACTGTTCAAAAAACTATTCTCAAAATAACTTTCTTTTTTCCAAAAATCACTCTTCAAATCATGATTTAGTTTTATCTAAACACCTTATTAATTTCTCAAGTTTTAAACAATAAATTTTAATTCTTTAAATTTCTTTTCATTTAAAATATTAATCCTATAATTCAATAAAACTTTGAACCACTTTGCCTTTTAGTACTCATCCAGTCATTAATATAAGACCTCATTATTATTTAGTTAGTTTTAATATTAAATATAAGACCTTTTTTTTTTTATATTTATTAATTTTTTAAAATTATTTATGTAAATTTTCTCAATCATAATCAAGTAAAATAAAAATATTAAAAGAAATGATTATGATATTTTAAAAAAACATATTATATTTCTTATAATTAACTAACTTAACTTTTTTAATTTAATCGAATTAGTTAAATAAATCGCATAGCTGTTGCCATATTCATTGCTAACACAAGAAATACGCTCATAAACTCCTCACAAATGTCACGAACCCTTCAAGGATCAACACAGACGGTGCTATACAATCCGCAGGCACATGAATTGATAATTGCTGTAATTTGGAATATCGTCATAATGAATCCTAGAACGACGATTACTTCACAACCACCTTCGCACAGTGATAGAACTATACCAACCTTGCTTGTACGGAACCGGTTGAATAACAAACAAATTAGCAACTACAAATGACAATATTTTACAAAAATATATACATAAATATTGATCCGACTATGTTGTTGCTACAGTCAGCAGAATGATACAGGTGCCTCTTCATGCTTCGCCGTCCCCCGCTACAGAACCCATCAATGAACTAGACAGCTAACTCCTATCTCAAAAAAATCATAAAAAGGGATGGGGGCGGGGAGATGAAGAATTACCCAACATGGCAGACATCAACCAAATCGGCACCATCTGGATCTTCAAAACTACATCAGCCAAAATCCAATGCTAGGATTAGAAATCTGATTTCATCAGCTTTGATCGAGGTTTTATGTTAATATTTGCAAAGGGTTTCGTCTGTTCAACATGAACATAATCCCTGGTCTTGAGAACCTGTCAATATGATCAAGATTAAATTAACCACCCACAAGTATCGCGTAGCAGGTACAGCAGAAAGACTGAACGTTCCACAACAAGGACATAAACAGAAACCGGCTATCATCCTTTATAAATTACATATTCCAGACAAATATGTTAACCTTCCAATGAAGAAAATATGCTTAAAAACCTATGAACATAGCATGAAAGATATGTAGCTGTATCCAAAATCAAGATACACTAGTCCTGGAAAACCTCATTCCCATGACCAATGAAAAGGTCCCATGCCTTTCAATTCCTTTGACCACCCTGAACAGGCATGCTTAAAGTAATCCAAACACATCCTAAGGAAAAGAAAAGAGAAATACACAATACTAGTTGAACCTAGTGACCACACTACCGTTAAGGATAGAAAGCCTTGACCACTGCAGAGAAAGTTATTTATTTATTTATTTATTTTGCCTGTAGTGCATATAATGCAGAAGGGGCCGCATTAGACTTTACCAACATATCCATACATATCCTACAAATTTCCCTACTTTTGAAGATGGACTTTCACTTTCAACAATTATTATTAATCCTAAATAAAAAGCTATGTTAACATAACACCTCGAGTTTATCACACATATACAGTACCGAATCACATCACGTAAATCAATGTTCATGAACATACCAGTGTTTCAAAAAACATCCTCGAGGCTTCTTTCCTGGTTTTACCAGCTATTAGATTATCAAGGGGTAGGTTCTTCCTTCCATGTACATCTTCTTTATCAAACAAAACCTGCAGATACTTGGCAACAGCTCTGCCAATAAAAGGATTAGTTGGCTACCAAACTAAAAGAATGTTAGACCTCAAACAAGTTGACTGCATAAGAATGTTCTATATAAAAGAATACAATAAGACTCAGAGCCAAAAAAAAAATACAAAAAGCAATAAGGATTGTATATCAATTAGCATAACTGAATAAAACATCTAAGAATTAATAAAGAAAAAAAATTACTGAACTAGAATATGACTCCACTTGATTCCAAGCGGGAGAATTTAAATCTGGCAATATCAGGATAATCCCTCTCTTACAGGTCATCAGTACTGCCCAGGGCAATGCTAGAGGGTCAGTTTAAACGAGACCACTTTAAACAGCAATGCAAGAGGGAATGAAGCATAACAGCATGATGAGTTTAAGGGTCAGAATTATTCATCCTTCAGGTAACAAGGCACATCAGTTTTATTAAGAATATCCTAGTTTTGGTCAAATTTTTCTGATATAAACTAAACAGTGTAATCTGAACAACTGAATGAAATACTAATAAATAATAATTAAATTGAAAAAAATAATAACTGCAATAAAAGAAACCACTGAGATAATAGACCAAATAGGCTACCAGTCTACAATACACTGTACAGCAATAATATACAACTAGAGGATCACTAAGACCACCATAAAATGATGTCATATTTTCGGTAAATAGTAATACTTTAGTGCATAAAAGATACAAGAAAAAAGCACTTGGCTGCTGCACAAGGAAATCTTTTTATGAATGATTCAAATATACAAACCTGGACCGAGAAGACCATCCGCTATTTTCTAGATGAGCTCCTTCATCACATGGTATGTAATCATCATCATCTTGAACCATATCATCATCAACATTCAGAAACCCTGGAAACAGAACAGGATGCATACCCATATCACATAAACATAAACTAGCCGCAACAAATGCCACATAATGATTACATTGACAATTTTGAAAGCCACAATATGAAAAGCTAGCACCTAGCCCATAATGATACAAGATCCCTGGAAGACATAATCCTCCCCAACCCTTCTCTCTCCTTTTTTTTTTAAGTTTTGATTCCTCATATTGATACCTCCCACCCGCATCCTTCCTTCTCCTTCATTGCTATCGTCCTCCCACCTCAGTCGACTCCAACAAATGAGCAAACCCCTTTCTGGCCCATAGAATTCTGTTTGGACAATAAAGTTTGACACTAGTGCTTCCCTTGTACGACCGTAGTAATAGAGCAGTATTTAACAGCTGATTTCTTGCAGTAAGAGTGCATGATTTTGTTATGACCCTCCACAAATATTTCCAGAATAAAACACTTCAGATAAATAAAGAACAGACTTACACACAAGTGATCAAAAATTAAGCTAAAGATACATTACTTAGAAACAATACACAACACCGGTACAAGAACAATACATAAAACAGAGAAAAGATACAACCCACCCACAAATCACAGAAACTCCAGACAAAGAACACACAGGGCTGCCAATTGTTCGAGAGGATTGGCTCTCTCCACTCTGATGCCCAAGCCTAACTTATAATTCTCCTCTCCCCCTCTCTAGACCAGAATGAGGATTAAATACTTTAAAAGTGACTCCCACAGCCCCCCTGCTCATAGACTTCGACTATAGCAACCCTATAGCCAACCTACTTTATTTCTTTCTCAAACATAGCAAGTCAAAGTTCTGTCCAACAAAAGTTGCCTTCCCCTTATCATGTATTTTCCAAGGTTTCTAAAAGTGGTTCTAACAGATTTCTAGCAGGTTTAGCTTTTGGAAGATGGCCTCAATCTGCCAACTGTGATCTTATCATATAACAAAAATAATATCTCAAGAAAAGAAAAAAACCTCAAGCAGAAAATTTTCTAGCAGGTTCATGCACATTTCTTTGCTTCTATTCAATTATATATAACAGGGCCGCTTTTCTAATGCTTAGTGCTCACTATGTACTATGGTTCACCACTTAGAAACTCTCAGCAGCCTTACTCATCCATCAAAAACAAAGCATGTCAATAGAATGAGCCTACACATATACCTGCCTCATTAGACTGGAAAACTGCTAATAAAAATCTACATAAGCTACTGGCAGCATGAATATCAAGAGATGAATCAACAGAGCAAAGATGTAGAAGCAAACCTGTATCCTCTGTGACTATGATGTTTTCCTGCACCACGTAGAGAAAGAGCTTGGTTATATATTCATCAAAACTTAAAATATACCCAGTTTCATAAATCCACGTCCATTCATAATGTCATATCACTAAGAGTTTACACAAGCTTTTGAACTGATTTGCAGCATTTCAGACAAGGAAAAAAAAAACAATGGTAAAGATGTTGGAATATATCATGGGTATGATGAAGTATGTTACGCATATCATATCACTGATGTAAAAAAAGGAGCACGTCTCCTTTAAAGTATCAGTGCAACACAGATGACATAATAAACACAAACATTATCTTAACATAAATGAGGAACTTACATCATTTTGATCCACCAAAGGACTCTCAATAGCTGAAATTTCAGGGTGCATTGTACTCCGCTGGTCAGCTTCATGAGAAACTGAATTTTCTTGATCAAATAGAGAAGCCTCGTTGGCATCCAAAACATCAGCTACACCATGTAAATAACCTACTGTAGTATTTTCATTATAACTGCATCCAAACCTTGAGTCCTTGTCATCATACCCAGAACCAGAGGCAAGGATTTGATCTTCATTTGTGCTCCCCAGCAAGTTGTTTCCACTGTCCTCTGCATGCAGGTCTCTATTTAAGGAAGCCTGGTTATAAGTGTATTCATCCGTTCTCTCACATTCAGTAGCCAAGGATGGGTATAAATTGTTCACAGTTTCAGAACCATCAATTTGAACTTCTGTTCCAATATCAACCCTGTCTTCTGAAATTTCAGAGGTGCCTACTCCGCTTCTATTGATTTTACTCTCTACAAGTTCATCCTCTAGAATAGGGAGTGGATGTAAATTCTGGGAAGATGATATGCCCAGTGTATCAGTATGCATAGAACCATCGAAGTCATTGCTTTTATCCATTACAGCCAACGGAGCAGCAAAGTCATCAGGCATACAGTTGTTGTTGTCAAAGACAGAGTCAGCATGAGATGATGATTCAAACCCAGGGGCAGTGGAGCAATTTTCAGAGTCAAAAACCTCAATATTTTCTCTACTGCCATTCATTTTGGGAGTTTGAGAAATTTGGATCTCCTTCACACGGGAAATAACATCTGAATTCCCGTGAACATTAATATGAAGAGATTCTGCATTAAATTCAGACTGATTGTTCTCAGGCACAACAGCTGTCCCAGCAGGTTGTTCTTCGACATCTTGGGCCATCACAGGTTCAATGTTTCTTTCCACTCCATGAATCTCAGTGACATTTGTCCTCAAATAGGGTCCATTATCATTTGTTGCTTCTGACAGAGAACTGTCTAAAGTGTGATCACAAACCTTGATTCTAGCAAGATCAAGTTTCTCATTTCGCAGAAGTGACAAACCAGCTGACACGCCTGAGATATACAAAAAATGACTCAGTTTGAAAGGCTCTTAACACATTCACAACAAAACTTTTATTTTCAGCCAAGACTTCCATTCCAGGGCAACTACTCTGGAGAGAGCATCATCAAAAATAACCTGAAAATCTAAAGAGCACAGTTCCAAGCAGAACATAGAAATATCCTAACATAAAGGCATGATTCACAACACCAACATAGCTTGATTCAATTGCAGGTAAGTCCCTTCTCATTAATCAAGTAAAGTCCTTCTAAATTTTACATAGGTTATTAATGACCCATGATCCTTTTAGTATGGTTACTCTTAGAACCAACCACTGATATTCACATGATAGTCCTTGTTTTCAAATTTTTAATCATTTATTGCAGTCTTTCATTATTTTAATTTTACATTCTTTAATCTGATTTTCTTCCTGAAATCATCCGATCAATAAAATCAAATTTCAGAGAACTTTTTCCGAATTAACCTCATCATATATGGTCCACAAAGTTGTTCTAGATTATAGTGACGGGTACAGGCTAAGTCACATGAAGTGTGCGAGGTGCATGATAAAGAAGGTGCAGGCTGGTGGTGGGGAATATATGCCAGAGAGTGGGATAAAGTAAGGGTTCAAGTAATTGGAGAGTGTGAACGGGAAAGATTAGCTAGAATGACTACATGGTTATGGGATATATTATAGCCATTTATATACAAAAGCTACTTGACAAGGAGAAAAAGGTAACTAACAACCAATTGAATGACTCCACTGCTTGATCACAAATATCTTCCTTTAAATATAAAATTTTACTTGCATCATTGAATTTGTGTTTGGAGGGTTGTATTATATGTTTAAGGAAGCAGGGAGGTTGGAGCATATACCTGAAAGCCATAGCACAAAGCACACAAACATTTCTCACCTTTAAGTGCTGGTTCTTGAAAGATTTCATCCTCCAGAAATTGTCTCTGAATCATTAATATTTCTCGGTGAGTGCAAGGAGCTTTCTTCCGCATGCGACGTATGTCTTCAGTATTTGTTAGCTGTTGCCGTATTATACTACAGAAAGAAGGCAAAATTAATTAGTATTCCACTGCATGAGAACAACAAAATACAGCGTTCTGTAAAGCAAGAGGCCAAATATGGCGTCATAAAGTCTAATAAATAAAACTTAAATTTTTTTTTTTTTGGGGGGGGGGGTTGTTACAAGACTAACGATGTATTTCATGCATCACCAGACAAAATAAAGCATATCAGTTAAACATATAGGGGAAGTTACTGAGGCTTTAATACGGATAACAATCTAGTGCCATTTTCTTTGGGTGAAACAATCTACTGCTTTCCTTTTTTCTTTGGGAAAAACAATATAGTGCCTTTTCCATCAAGTACAGTGTGCACATTCTACATGCCATGAACTGACAAATCTTTCTCTTCATTAACCAAAGTTAAAGGTTATCATCTTCAATTATGAAGGAAATTACAAAAAGAGAGAAACAGGAAACAGTGCATGAAGTTAATTATTAAATAACTAAACCTTTCGGTTCTACATGCACTGTTTGAACGGTATAAGTTAACACCCTTATTTAGGGAAGCATATGTGTAAGGTTGATACAGCTTGAGTTTACGTGTGTTTTGGAGGGGGGCACAGAATGGAAAGCTTATGAATTAGGATCAGGCATGGCAAATACGACGAAGCACAGCAAATCTTCAAATATGTGATGTACATGCTATCTTCAAGGATGACCATCTAATAAAAAAGAGCTTAAATTGCTCTCTGGCAGTACGCAAACCATGCAATCCTTGAACGCCTTCCCTGGCAGAGCAGAATGATTGTATAAGAGGAATCAACCCCTCCCTAGACTACATTTTGTAAGGCTTCTGTCATTCAACATACAATTTTTTCAGTGAATTTCCTACGTGGACATGTATAGGGGTTGAAAAACTATTAATGTTTCAGTTTCATATTATATCCTCCTTTTATATAATCCATCGTTCATTGTAATAACATAATCTGCTGGATGTAAAAGCAAATAAAAGCTTAAAGGTCAAAGAACTTCAGCGATCAGCATATCTGAAGATTCATCCTCGTCTTTTAAGGAATAGCAGTGGGGCGTTTTAGCAATTTTGTAAACCTTAGGTACAGCTTATTAATCGTTCGGCCGGATTCTCCCAGGCAACATAAAAAAAAAAAAAAAAAAAAGGGTTGAACCCAAACATTTTCAAGATATATTAATCAGAGTCATACAGAACCCTAAACATAAAATAAAGAGGAAAAGCATGTGCTATTGAAAATGTGGACATACTCGCCATGTAAGACCATTGTATCATCTGTGAGCACCTTCCTCTTTAAGGCACTAGTGCGTGGTACCAAACGGGGACGTTTTATTGATACCACTTCAGAGGCTGCTGGAGTGGGTTTCACTTTCAAAAATGAAGATCTTCTACCAACTAGAGCACAAAAAAAAAAAAAAAACCAAACTGAGACTGATTCCCATAGGAAAAGAAACATTATAATATACTTCTAGAAGTATCAAGGAATCACTTTAATACCTAATATGGAAGACAACAAATCATCATCATCAGGAAGGAACTCTGCACTTCTCTTGGATTGAGTCCCCCCATATGATTCAGACAAATCTACGCTCTGCATTGTCAGAGTACTTTCTGTGAAACATCGCTTTTTACCCGAGACACATTTCACCCCTTCAACACTCTTAAAGCCTCCAGCCATATCCCGATTGTCAGGTGTAGATTCCATCAGCACATCGTTAGGTCCAACGCTATGTTGATATGATAGGGAGAGCATTTTTTCAGGTGCTGGCAAGTCAGAAGCAACAGATTTACTGTCGCTTGTTACTTGATTATCAATAAAGATCTGACTCTCGTGTTGCTCCTCTGACTTCTCCTGATCTTGGTGAATTTCTTTACACACAGATTGCTCTTTTTCCTCCTGACAATCACCTAAAGCAGTATGCGAAACATAGGTCAAATGACACTGTTTGCCTGCAAATAATTATAAGTAACTACTAGAAGAAACTATTATTTGTTTTGGTCTATCAAAGTTACCATATATGAATACCATATACTGTAACTAATTAAATTGGCATTAAAAAGCTGATCTGCTCAACCAAGAAAATAAGGTCAAGTTAGAAAGCCAACCTAAGCCCCCAATTTTAACAGAAGTTGGCTCAAGAAGGTGAAGCAAATGTCAGTACAACAATTAGATCCATGCAGTAAAGATGCATTATAAAGGACAAATTCAAGTGACCATTGCACTCATCAGTTAGAAAATAGGAAGGGGAAAAAAGAAAAGAAAAGAAACAAAACAAAACAAGGGAGAGGAGGGAAACAAATGCGCATATTTTTAAAAGAACAATTATGCAACACTGAACCAGCCAACGTTTACCTCCAATGGACAACACATCAGTTTGGCCCAAATGGGATGTGCATGGCCGAAGGTGTAATTCATCAGGCTGTACAGCTCCATGAGCAACATGGTTCGAAGCATCTGCTTCCTTCAATTCTTGAGAGGCCTGAGATTCAACATCAACAACCTCAGGTCCCTCAGGTGAACCTAGAATATGCACAGCACTGGATGCTTTAGCCTCACCAAAGGGAGCAGATTCCCCCTCACTGTTAGCAATTTCAATGTCAGTTAAAGTTTCATGCTTTGATAAGACATGTTTATCCTTTAGATGACTGTCTAATTCTGATCCTTTTGAGACAACCAAGTGAGACAAAAGTTTACAACTGGGGTCCTCCTGATCGGATGTAATGTGAGAACAACTTGGCGAGGCAACAGTTTCACTAACATTTATCCCTCTAGAAACTGCATCAATAACAGTTTGGTCCAGAGAAGATACAACTGGTTCATTATTTATCACAACACCATCATGCAAATCTTCAACCTTCTCAGGCACAGCAGAAGCACCAAAAGTCCTGTCTCTGTATTCTGGCACCAAGGATGGGCAATTCTCTCTTTCACAGTCACCCAAAAGGCAGTCCGTCTTTTCGTGGTGAAAATCTAGAACATTGCCATTCTTTACATTATCTTGCACAGAATGGTCAATTGCAGCTTCATCTTGCATAGTTGAAACTTCTTGTGTGCTTTTCATTGATACAAAATCAGTTGAATTATGATAATCCACTTCATTAATGACCGGAGCCAAGTTTGGCTCTTCCAGTCCAGGAGTAGATGGCCCTTGAGCGTATTCACTAGCTTCAATACCAGAGGATGCGCCATCAATCTGGTCAGAATAAATCAATTCAATAATTAAATCCAGCAGAGATCATAACCACGTGTCTTAACAGCAGTAGATCAGGAGACATGAACAATCCACAATTACATCAACCATTCCACCTTCTAGAATAGAATTAAATGACAATAAGACATCAAATAATAGAAAACATCCATAGGCATCCAGGCATTCTAGATTATTAACCTTGCTGCCATTCACTTTCACTTGCGCTCCGTCCAGTGCTTCAGTTTCCTCTGCTTTCCTTTCATTTTCATCGAGAGGTCTGTCAGATTGTATAGTTTCTTGAGGATTAGTCCTGCAATCAACACACACACACACACACACACACACACACATTTGGGCATGTCAGGAAGCTTATGGCATGCATTATAATGATGAGTGATGACAAAGATGAAAGGCTATTAGAGAGAGAGGGGTCTTACTCCAATATGCCATCATGCTCAAAAGTAGATGCCTTCTCCAGCAACAAATCCTGCTTTCCAGTTCAAGTTAAAAAAAGGAGACATAATATGACGAACAGATGGTAGGCACAGTCATTTGTAAAGTATAGTGTGCTTCTGTTACAAGAACTCACAGCAACTCATAACAATGTAACCTGAAACACATTCTAGAGCAAGACAATACTGACGCACAGTTCATATCATATATTTTATAGATGCTAAAGTCCAAAATAACAAGGGAAAACTACTGTGAGAAAAATAATTGATTTTTCCTTCCTTCCAATTTTGCATAGGTAATCTTTCCAGTGACCCATTTAGTTTGATTAGCTTTTGTAACAAAAATGAAATCACAAATTGAAAGCCATATTTGGAAATTGTAAACCATATTGAATTATAAGAATCAACAATCAACTGAATGATAAATCGAAGTGAAATGTATAATATAAATATGCACAGGTATATAACCAAAACACAATACTATATAATGAATTTAACGCAAGAATTATAAAGTAACTGTTGTCACGTGATAAGGTTTCTTATCTCTCCTTATCTGATTACTTACCTTATCGTTTTATGGTTTCCTAGCTACTTTGGGATCAATGATTAATGATTAATCGATGATTTAAGCTCTCTCTTTATATTGTAAGCCTAGAATATAAGCAAGATAGACTTCCCAAGTCAATGTACTTTATACACATTTACTCTTCAAATTATAGCTCCCACTAGCTTCCTTACTTTGAAAGGCCCCCAATTTCCTTGCCCTCCCAATAACATTGCAATCATATTTGAGTATTTAGCTTAGATATCAACCTCATTGTTAAGAAATAATTAACATTCCATTGCAACCCTCTCATTCCACTGTCATCAACATACACGGATCTGCCTATTCTTCCCAGGTTATCATAAACCAAAAAGCTTGGAGCATTCAAATCAGCATTATGACTAACAAAAGCATAAACCATTCAGGCCCCATTTCAAACAGATAAATGCCAGCTTCATGGGTACAAAACAGGGAAAAACATAAATTACCTCCTCAAGGTCTAAACCAATTTGAGAAGCATCACCATCACCAAACCGCTCTGAAACCAACGAATAATAAGTTAAATACTACCAGTCAAATGCCTCTACATTGCACATGGCTTAGACTTACCAGACGACTAGAAAGAAAGGGACAAAAAAGAGACAATAGTGAATAGTAAATACTCACCGTCCAATCCAAACTGTGAAGTAGTGTAAACTGCACCCTCCAAGGTATCTTGTAATGTGATCTGCTCTCGCGTACTGACGTGATGATCAACATAGTTACTGCATGTTCACAAGAAATGCACTTCATTGTTACTAAAGGGAGGAAACCACATTACAGAAAATCACCATCTAAAATATTGACCATTGACCAATTCAGGTGCAACAGAACCATGTAAAGGAAATATAACTACAATGGAATATATGTTTCCAAGAAATCCCCCCTCCTCATCATCAGACAACTGCCAAGAAGAAAGCTGATATATAAGATTAAAGAAAATCACCAGTAAAGATTTTCAAATGAAACTGAACACAAAACCAGTAAAACTGTCATAAACGTTGCTGCACTAGTTACAACACTCAAAGAAGCAGCTAGAGCTTCTGTTAAGAACATAAGCAAGTATTGTGAAACTTACCCTTGAAATATATCATTATCTGGCAGTTCAAAATCATCAAGATCAAAAGTCTCAGGTAAAGTTATGGAATGGTAAGGTGCAGTGGACTCTTCTGGTGGCAGATCAACAGCAGTGGAGCGGAAAGCTTGCTTAATCTTAAGCAAAGCTTCACTGCAATCATCAAAAAGGTAATTCACCTTTCTAGAATATATCCTCACTACACCAAGCAGAAGATGACTGGACAAGCGAAGTGCAATTGGTACTTCAGGAAAAAGAATTGAATCTGTCCACAAAAGTGACGGTATAAATATCAGGGAAAGAAAAACGTAATATCAAAACTAGAGCATAACACATGCAGCACAGGCAATATGTACAAATATATTACGGAATTAGCTACTTTCACAATTATGACAGGTACGTCTACATAATCAAAATAATGCTTTTCTCATGTTTCCAATCAGAACTACATGCATTTGAAGACTACAGATGAAGGACATTCATATCTGGCCCTGATATTGTGAGAACTCCCCCCAACCACCATAAATATCCTTAAGAGCCTATTATAACATAACTAACACTCCCTAATATTAATGCCCGTCTCCCAACTGTCTTGTAGCAACACTACCACCCCCCACCCCCACGCCCAAAAAGAAAGTCCTTGTCCTCAATGATGTGGTACAAATGAAGCATCAATATCAGGAAATTGCAGCTGAATGATGACAGAAAGTAGTTGACTGACTGAGCATATGGTAATGGCAGCAACTGAGACTGGGTCCATGAGTTTGATCTGTTGTATATATGTGTTCGAGCACTTCCCTCTACTACTATTGTTATTATCCCCTTCTTTCTCATTTTAAGGAGCTGGTAACACTTTTGGAGAGTGGAAAAATTATTGGCACCAACTGCCCCTTAACTTTTCCACTTGTGCAAAGGCGGGAAAGAGCAATACACAGACCAACCACTTTGCTTCTCAGATGCAGGTCCATCCTCTCCAACTGATGAAACCCAGTGCCCCAAGGAAGCAGATAAATCTCCAATACTACTAGGTATAAAGTCACCGCAAAACACAATTGTATTATTCACTTCTCATCGAAGGCATTCATATCTGACCCTTATATTGCAAAAGTTCCCCCTAACTACCATAACTACCCTCGACATCCTATAATAACCAACACTCTTGAACAAATGCCTATGACTAAACTATCTCATAACAGTAGCAAACCTCTAATTATGCTATGGTAGCTAGGGTTTCAGTGACTTCATGAAATTTGAAATCAAATAGTACATGTTATTTAAAATTTTAAAAACCAATACTAATTAAATGTCACTTAAATATCATATATTAAATAATAATTGAAGATATTTTGTTGATTACTGAATTAATCCCCACTGCTGCACATCTCCAGGATGGACTTCAGACCTGATTGGTCTCGATCATGTAATTAACGATGTAATCAGTCTTAATCACATCATTAAGACTCATTAAGACATGATTATTCTCCAACCACATCTTCATGTCATGATCTGGTCCCTTAAAGAGCCTCAACAGCTCTTTTCCTTTGTTTATGCATTTGAACTCTTATCTCCCCTTTTTCACTTCTTTAACACTCATTCCCTCTAGAGCACCACAGTGTACTCGGTACCACTAATGAAAAGATAGTAATTTTCCCTTCTTATTCATAAATATATCTTCTTGATTTGTATTAAAAAACTATCTTCTCTTGATAACAAAAGAACAAAAAGGGAAGCTAGTCCATAATCAAACAGCCAAAGAGTCAAATTCCGCAACTCTCAAGTTTCCTTAGAACTGCGCGAAAATCTGTACTGAGAGCTTATTGATGAAATCATAAGACTGCTTATGAAGCACTGAAAGGTTTGTAAAACGCAATACCCAATAGACAGTATGATAGCAGATATTTGTCATAAATGTGCCAATCTTTTAACATTACATACATCCTAGACAATGAAAAACAACGTTCAAAACATTATCATTATCCTAAATGTAAATATGTTAGTATAAACTACCATAACAAGGCATAAGATCCAGATAACTAACCCACAGAAACGCCGATGTCAGTATCGGCAACTTGATTCTTCCGGAGCTTTCTTTCCAAATGTGCCGCTATCCATATCGTTCCAAGGGGCCCTTTCTTGGCCAATATAAACTGAGAATAAAACATGTCTAACTCCTTTACTTTGGCAATGAATTCCTATTTCTCGTGGAAGAAATGGCCCCAAAATTTAAATCCCATACCCCCAAACGCCTCCCACTCCACAAGAAAGGAAGATAAAAACCAGAGGGTTAAAACGGCAGCCGCCGAGAAATCAAGCAACCGAACAAGCCTAAAGCTACACAAGAAGTGTCCCGTCGATCCCACTGGACAACTAAAACTGAAAATTCAACGGCTTCAGTTACATGTACAAAACCCTAACTGCTCCTAAGACGACAAAACTCCAAAATTGCACCAAGGACCTTAAGAATGTGGAAAAGAGCCTCCTTCAAAGAATTTCGCAATACTTTCAGTAGACACTTCACGGTTGCATAACTCAACAATCAAAGAACGGAAAGAAAAGTCGAAGCAAGAGTAGCTGAGCATAATTTTAGCGGAAAATGGCAAACCCTAAGTATGCCCGAACGGCGAACTGAAAAGCTCAAAGAATAGTCAGTACATTGAACTTTCACTTCGAATTCGAACGAGCTTGAGAAAAATCCGACCAGGGTACTCGGGGTTCAAACGGCTCAGATTCAGCGGTAAGACTAAGGAGCGAGACCGCAGTCGATTGTCGAGGGGCGCCTTGGATCGAGGAATTTGTGTTTTCCGAATTTGTTTTATGTTTTAGTTAAATCGTAAATTTTGGAGATGACCAAGATATAGTTGCTGTACTGTCATCGTCTGATTGGATGGAGCTTGTCTGGCAAAACAAAGGTTGGTTGATTTGACTGCATTAAGAAAATTAGATGACTAGATAAATTAATTAATTACAGAAAAATATGATAATTTAAAAATAATTGATAAATATAAAAAATATAATTTACATTTAAAATTAAAATCAACCCAATAATTAGATTTTTTATTAAGAACATTAAGAATAAGAGAAGTATGAATCATTAGTTTAATTTAATAGTTTATATTAGTTAATAGGTGAATAAATAATCATTAGCTTATAAGAATTCTAATGTTAAGTGAAAAAAATTACATGTAACTAATCAATGTTAATAACTAATATCGAATAACATTTTAGAATTAAGCTTAGAAAAATAAAAACAAGGGCCATCGGTTGTTGCAATTATTATTATTAATTAATTATTATGAGGATATTATCAAGGTTTAAAAAATTAGAAAAAAGCTATAGATATAAAAATAAGAAAGTAATTATAAACATTGCATAGGGGTATTTATATAGAAACAAATCTATAGTTTTAAAAATAATTTGACGACATATAATATAAATATGTCAGAGAAGTTTTGTCTCGATTTATATAAAAATATTTTTAAAAAGTGCTTACCCAAAAAAATAGGATAAGATTGACTTTATGGGGACCACTGTATATAAAAGTCAGGAGTAGTTCGTTTGATATAAGAAAAATAGAAACAATGAAAGGAAAGAAAAAATTGTAATAAGCTTGATTTGAAAAATTAAAGAAGTGAGATTTTAAAAGGGAAAATTAATTTGCGAGTCCTTATAGTTTCTTTAGATTTGGAATTAAGTCCTTCTAATTTTATTTCTTTTTATTGGATCCTTATACTTTATTCTGTGAAAGCTTCAAGTCCTTCTGTCAAAACACTGTTAGTGGAACGCATTAAGACTCGCTCTCTCTCTCTCGCAGCTCTCCCTCTCCCTCATCTTTTCAAGACCAACAATGGCCAATTTGATTGCAGTTCCCCCCTCTTCGTCTTCCAGCTTTCCACCATCCTGCCTTCTTTTATTTTATCCCTTTTCTCGTTCTCCCCCACCTTTCCTCACTCAATTCTCTCTCACTCTCTCAATTGATCCTCTCTCCCCATGTCCTCTTACTCTCTCTTCATGTCTACGCCTATATTTTGCTTTGATGTGGCAAGAGTTGCAAAATTATATGCATTAACTGTCTTCGACTTGATCTCAAGCAAGGAAACTTCACTTAACAAGGAGATGCTCACGTAAATCTTCACAACCTCCTTGGCAACAGGTCTGCCTCTTACTTCATATAATCAATCCTCCCTCCTTTCTGCCCCTTCAAATTTCTCTCGATGATTTCATCTAATACATGATTCTCATCCTGATTCCTTAGATGACCTCTAATTGCCACAAGGTTGCTGGGAATTGAATCGACAGTGAGATTAAGAAGTATTAGAACATCCACATCACTGCAAACTCTACAGCCATAGTTTTGACAGCTCAACACCGCTACTGGACTTGCTATTGATACCGTTGATATTGTCGGCGGCTAAGTTTCGCTTAGTAACTGGCTTCAGTGTCATGGTTGCTTGCAAATGATGAGAGTTTTTGTGTTACAAAAGATTTAAAGAAAGGATGTGGATGTTAATGCATTAACGGTGTTTTGACGGAAGGACTTAAAGCTTTGGCAAAATAAAATATAAGGATGCAATAAAAAGAAATAAAACCAGAAGGACCTAATTCCAAATCTAATAAAACTATAAGGACTAGCAAATTAATTTTCCCATTTTAAAATTACTCATACGCACAGCTCCCTTTCCTTGATTTAGGCTGTTAGAGTTTCTGAAAATACCTTTATTATTAAAACACTCAATTAAACTAGGTCTTAAATAACTTGTAGTTTAGGATCAACATAGGACATTACTTCCAAATAGTGAATTATAAATTTCTTTAGGTAAGAATTTAGGTAATGAAAAATATAATAAAATGGACTTAAATTAAAATGTAAAATACTAAATTTAAATGCAATATACAAATGTTCTAAAATCTATATAAAAATTAAATTAAACTAAATGAATGTAAATGCAATTTTGGAAATTTTTTAGAAGAGCAATTAAAGTGTTAAAAGCAAAATTAAGCTAAAAGCAAAGAAAATTAATAAAGCAAAAACGAGAGGTTTTTTTTTCAAGTACGATAGAGGAAACAACTTAGAATTTATATCGAGTTAACTTTCATAGCCCAAATCAATAAATCAGAGCAACAGAAGGTGACAAGAGAGAGGAAATAATAAGTTTACTTACCTACTTGAAACATGGGAAACTATTAGTTCAAAAATCCTTAAACCATTAAACAACTCATCATGATATAAAATTAGTTAACTAAACTCATTAAAACCAATGACAAATAATTCAAATTAATTCTAAAAATTATACTTAGAATTATCTAATTAAGTAATTAGATAATTTGTCAACTCAATTGAACAATCAAGAGGCAAAAGGACTTGAGCTTACAATTCAACCCGTACTGATAATCAATATAAATTCTGGCAAATATCTCAGCATAAAAATGATTCATATATCAATCCAATATAAGAACAAAAATGACAATTTAAAACCAAATTGTCTCAAAGCAATATAATTCAAAATTATTTAAAACTAAATAATCTCAAAGTCTTGAATTAAAAAGGCAAATGAGATCACTCCCTTGTGGTCTTTAAATGCTAGCCTAAGGCTCTAACTTCCTCTATGCTCCTCCCAAATTATCTCCCAAGGAAGGTCAAGCTCCATGGATGGCGTGAAATTGATGGAATAATAAAGGGTGAGTGATAAATGAGAATGAATGGAATGAAAATTGATGAGTGAAGAGGGAGGTGACTGCCTTTTCATGAGAGAATGCTTCTTTTTAAAGGAGCAATAACAAGCTTTTAGGTATAAAAATTAAACCTATTTAAACTTAACCATTGTATTGTGTTCGAATCCCAAGAAATAATTTTGCATTATTAGATTTCTTATTGTGCTCTTCCTTAACCTGCAAAAATTTAAGTGTATTTACAAATATAGATTATTCAAATATGATATAATCCACATCAACATCAAATATTAGATATGCATCCAAGATAAGGCAAGAAATTGGAAAACTGTTAAAAAAATCAATCTTTCTGAAAATATGCGAAATGTTTCTAAAGAAATAAGAAATATTAATTTCACGTTAAAAATAGGAGATCAAAATATTCATATTTTCAATCCAAAATCCCAATTTTACGAAAAATTCCCAAAATCAATCAACTAATCTAATAATGTATAAAAATCCATTTAAGCTCAAAATTATCATTTAAATCCAAGATTAATCTGGGATATAATATATAAAAATTGAACTTTATCTGTTTATATTTTGTGAATGCTTGATTGATGGTGTAACTGTTAGTGGCAGTCTCACCCAAGAGGAGGGTGAATTGGATGAGTTATAAAAATTTTAACCAAATTGAAACAATAAAATTAATAAAACAGAGAGTTTTAGAGTTAGAAAGATTTCACCGTAGATCAAAGACACCGGATTTATACTGGTTCGGTCTTAAATACTTGACCTACGTCCAGTTCTCAGAACACCTCTAAGATTTCCACTATCATATGAGATTAACCGGGCTCTTGGTGTCTCAGTACAGTAATTGATCTGCTCAATTACTCCCCCTTACTACCCGTAATGTTACAAACCCACTTAAGAGTCCACACTCTTGAGTTACACTCAGAAAGTGATTAAAGATGATATGTTAGTCTCTCTCACAGAGTAAATGAATGAGAAACACTAAAGCTCGGTAAAGACAAAAACAGAGTATTGAATGCAGCAGTAAAATATTTGCAGAAGGTAGCGCGCGTATTCAATATCTGCATTCAATGCTTTTTCATGCCTTTTATAGTTGCAGAGGTTTAATAATCGTTAGATGGAAGAGCTTCTAGCAGTTGAGAGTTTGGTTGTGTGTGTTCCCAGTTATAGCAGTATTTGCCATTTAATGCTTTTGACATAGTAGGTTACAAGCTACTGAATAACCGTTGGATAACCGTTGAACTTTTTTCGTAATCTGTAACAATACTTCAAGCTAATAAGTTTTTCCTTCAGAATGAAATTCAGGAAGATAACTGATAAAATGATAGTAATATTCATATGGTAGAAGTGAAGGAAATCAATCAAACATCAAATCCAATAACTATGAACTGATCATCCTTGATCAAAGACATGATCGATAACTGGTTTATCGATTACGTTATCGATTAATTAAGATGAAATATTTTGAAACAGATAACTATATTGATTGATTAAGTTATGGATTAACTCATGATTGATCAAGTGATTAATAAATGAAAAGAATGACTTCAGAAAGATTATGTAGAGAAAAGGCTCACGGTCACCAATGATTTTGAAACCCTTAAAATAGAGTATTAAGATAATCAGCAAGGTTGAGAAAAGCTCGAAGAGAAATATTCAGAAGATTCTTAAATCTCACCGTAGCTTCTGGTATTGAAAGAGCTGGATTATTGATTGAATAAGTGATCGAAAAATGTTTGATCGATCAATTTATTGATAAAGATAACCAAGAGAGAATTTGATTTTCAAGGTACATTGATGGAATACTTTATCGATAAATAGATGACAGAAAATTTGATCGATAAAATGAGGTTTAACAAAGATTTTCATAAAGAGCACAAATCCTAAAATGATTGAGTATGTGATCGGTCAAAGATTGAGCGATCAAGTGATGGATAACAAAGTAGTCAAGAAGCTTAGTTCTGGAATGCCAGGAGCATGTTTGATTGATCACGTGTGAAAACAGAATATTTAGAAGATTGGATGATCGATCATTTTATCGATAAATTGATGATTGATCAAGTGATCGAAGAAGTGCTTAACACAGTTTAAACCAATAAAAGGGTAATGATTGATC